TACAAATTATATTAGATAACAATCCTTTATTATAAATTTTGATATTTTATATATTATATAAATGTAATTTATTTTAATATTACATAAATAATATATTGTATTCTCATTATTATATAAATAATATTGAGAATTGAAACTTAATAACAGAAAACTAATTAAAAACTTAATTAATTTTACAAATCTCATTTTAATTATTCCTTTATTAACATACATAATATAATAATGAAACATTTTATTAAAAGATTTTTATAAACTTATGATTTAAGTGTGATAAACAGGAAAACTATTAACTTATTTATCAGGAGAAATCAAGGACGAACATCTTTTAGAATTAATGACAATTTTAATAAAAATACATTTTAAAAATACAGTAATACCTCAGTTTTCATTGACTTCAGTTATTGTCAGTTCCAGTTTTCATTGATTTTTTCAATTAAAAAATTTCTCTCAGTTTTTGTTGATTGCCTCAGATTTCGTCAGTATGCCCATGTGACCTCACTGCTAATTTTGCAAAAACAAAAGGTGACCCATGCATTTTCCTGCTCAGTGTGGTGTTGTTTCTCATTGTGTGAGCATTACCCTGCACGTCTAGCAAACAATTCCATTGCTTTCCTTTCCTTTCAGCTCCATCGTGGGACCAAAGAAAGTTTCCAAGCCAGTAACCCCTCGAAGAACACCAGAAACATGATTGAATTTGTAATCACTCAAAAAATCTTTTATATTCATTTTATATTAATTTCTTATTGTTTTTAGTATTAAACACTACATTCATTCTCTATAAAAAGTGTTTTTGGTATGTATTTTGGAGTGTTTAGAACAAATTAATTGGATTTAAATTGATTTGTATGGAAATAATTGCTTCAGTTTTCATTCGTTTTGGATTTTGCTGGTTGTTTATGGATGGATTATCAACGAAAACTGAGGTATCACTGTAATTACTAATTTATAATTTTACCCATATATCTGTTTTCGGACCATCGTATTCTTTTCCTTCAAAAAGTTCTGGAGCAGCATATGGAGGACTTCCACACCAAGTTTTAAGAAATTTATTTGATTGAAAGTAATTACTGAATCCAAAATCTGAAATAATCAAAATATATCTAAACTGTAAACTAATTTTAATTTATTATTTAAATTAGATCTCTTTAGTATTATTACTAAATAGTTTAGACTCCTTTATGAAGGATGACAGAGATGGAATAATCCATAACAGGGATGGCAAACCTATGGCACACACTCAAAGTGGCACTTCGAAAAAATATCTGGTATGCAACATATCATACAATTTTGTTTACTTTTATTTTATAAATAAATAAAAATTTATTTTAATTTCAATTTTTTGTATGGTTTTACATTCAGTTTAACATATCATCATCCTTTTCTCAATCATTTGTTTTAAATTTATGCTAATTAAGATATACTCATTTCATTTCTTTAAAAATAGTTGTTCTAAGTCTAAAGCTTCGAATGAATAAATTATTAAAAAGTTAATTATGTCAACACACGATACGTGGACTCATAAAGGTTTGCCATCCCTATCTATAAACTAGCAATGGAAAAATACGAGTATTTATTCTTTAGATAAAGTATTGAACCAGCAAATATGATAAAATTACTTTAACTATAAAATTTGATTTAAATTTTATATAAATTTTCTCATGTCTTAAAAAAAATTTTTTTTGAATTCTGAAATTTACTTTTTAAATTTCCACTCAATATAAAAGCTTCCATAGCTATTTTTAAAAACTACTTTTATAATTTAATACACAACAAATCTGTTTACCAGCTATTTTAATGTTCATGTTTTCATCTAAAAGTAAATTTTCAGCTTTGAGATCACGATGAACGACATAATGTTTATGGCAGTAACTAATAGCCGAAATGATCTGCTTAAATTTTTTTCTTGCTTTGCTTTCTTCCATTCTTTCATGCAAGACTAGATAATCTAAAAGAAGAAATAATTTTTAAATTATGAAGAAATTATTAAACATACTTTAAATACAAATTATATTAGATAACAATCATATTTGTTTAAGAAATAAACAAATATGATCGTTATCTAATATAATTTTCATATATGATACAAATACATACCAAAGATATCTCCTCCACTAGCATATTCTGTTACGAGATAAAGCATATCTTCCGTATCAATGACCTAAAATGATAAAAGATCTATCATTGATAATTTATGATATATTGCAATCAAAATTTTGTTTTTGTATTCATTTAACAGTTCTAAAAAGATAAAAATTGAGCAAAATACATTTCAAATTATTTGAAAATTCAACAGAATCAAAGAAAATTTTTTACAAATAAGCCTTAAAATGCTAGCTGTCAAAATATATAATGATAATACAGTTTGNAAAAAAAAAAAAAAAAAAAAAAAAAAAAAAAAAAAAAAAAAAAAAAAAAAAAAAAAAAAAAAAAAAAAAAAAAAAAAAAAAAAAAAAAAAAAAAAAAAAAAAAAAAAAAAAAAAAAAAAAAAAAAAAAAAAAAAAAAAAAAAAAAAAAAAAAAAAAAAAAAAAAAAAAAAAAAAAAAAAAAAAAAAAAAAAAAAAAAAAAAAAAAAAAAAAAAAAAAAAAAAAAAAAAAAAAAAAAAAAAAAAAAAAAAAAAAAAAAAAAAAAAAAAAAAAAAAAAAAAAAAAAAAAAAAAAAAAAAAAAAAAAAAAAAAAAAAAAAAAAAAAAAAAAAAAAAAAAAAAAAAAAAAAAAAAAAAAAAAAAAAAAAAAAAAAAAAAAAAAAAAAAAAAAAAAAAAAAAAAAAAAAAAAAAAAAAAAAAAAAAAAAAAAAAAAAAAAAAAAAAAAAAAAAAAAAAAAAAAAAAAAAAAAAAAAAAAAAAAAAAAAAAAAAAAAAAAAAAAAAAAAAAAAAAAAAAAAAAAAAAAAAAAAAAAAAAAAAAAAAAAAAAAAAAAAAAAAAAAAAAAAAAAAAAAAAAAAAAAAAAAAAAAAAAAAAAAAAAAAAAAAAAAAAAAAAAAAAAAAAAAAAAAAAAAAAAAAAAAAAAAAAAAAAAAAAAAAAAAAAAAAAAAAAAAAAAAAAAAAAAAAAAAAAAAAAAAAAAAAAAAAAAAAAAAAAAAAAAAAAAAAAAAAAAAAAAAAAAAAAAAAAAAAAAAAAAAAAAAAAAAAAAAAAAAAAAAAAAAAAAAAAAAAAAAAAAAAAAAAAAAAAAAAAAAAAAAAAAAAAAAAAAAAAAAAAAAAAAAAAAAAAAAAAAAAAAAAAAAAAAAAAAAAAAAAAAAAAAAAAAAAAAAAAAAAAAAAAAAAAAAAAAAAAAAAAAAAAAAAAAAAAAAAAAAAAAAAAAAAAAAAAAAAAAAAAAAAAAAAAAAAAAAAAAAAAAAAAAAAAAAAAAAAAAAAAAAAAAAAAAAAAAAAAAAAAAAAAAAAAAAAAAAAAAAAAAAAAAAAAAAAAAAAAAAAAAAAAAAAAAAAAAAAAAAAAAAAAAAAAAAAAAAAAAAAAAAAAAAAAAAAAAAAAAAAAAAAAAAAAAAAAAAAAAAAAAAAAAAAAAAAAAAAAAAAAAAAAAAAAAAAAAAAAAAAAAAAAAAAAAAAAAAAAAAAAAAAAAAAAAAAAAAAAAAAAAAAAAAAAAAAAAAAAAAAAAAAAAAAAAAAAAAAAAAAAAAAAAAAAAAAAAAAAAAAAAAAAAAAAAAAAAAAAAAAAAAAAAAAAAAAAAAAAAAAAAAAAAAAAAAAAAAAAAAAAAAAAAAAAAAAAAAAAAAAAAAAAAAAAGACAAAAGGGACCACTCTAAAGACCCACAGGCCCCACACTAATTCTCAACAGCCTCGTCCACATTGCTTGAAAAATAAGAGTGGGGACCCAAAAAAAAACCAAAGTGAGAGCACGCTGTCATTCGTAGACATAGTAGAGAGTTCTCCCATTACATGGGATTAGTAGAGACCTTCAGGAAACATCTGTGCAAATGGTGTCAGTTTGTAGGTTTACGTTTGAGTGTAGTGTTGTGTTCCACCTGCGAAGTTCTGGGTATCCTTCAACATCTCGAAATGATGAAAATGTTGAAAAAATCTGCCAAAAAAGTGTTAAGACGTCTGTGAGAGGATGTGCAAAGGATATGCCCAGAACTTTGGTGATCAGGTGATTGGTTCATTCATCACGACAACGCCCCCACACACACGGCCTTACGAGTGACTCACTATTTGGCCTCTTGGGGATGGACTGTCATTCCCTAACCTCTGTATTCACCAGACCTAGCCCCATGCGACTTTTTTCTGTTTCCGAGAATAAAGAAAAATCTAGCATTTTGATGATGTGGAGGTGAAAGGGAAGCATTTCGATGATGTGGAGGTGGTAAAAACAGCTTCGCTAAGGGGATTGGACAATATCAAGGTTGAAGAGTTCCAGAGATGCTTCAAACAGTGGGGAAAAAGACTTCATAAGTGCATTGCATCTAATGGAAAGTACTTTGAAGGTGACTGAAGAAATTTTGTAAAAAAGTTAATAAATAAAGTTTTTATACAAAAAAATCCAGTTATTTTTGGGTCCCCCCACATATATGTTTTGACTGATTACAGAAGATTAGAAAAGTAAACAGTATACATAAAAATATACAGATATCTGTTGTAGAACAAATATGCAGGGAAATTGACATCAGTTACAATTTAAAATTTAAAACATTTATGTCTGGCTGATGAGGGTCTTGTGTACCAAAATGCATACCAGTAATAAAGTTGCATTCTGATTACAGTGTGGCCGCCAGCGCCAGAGATCCTGAACACTGTCTGGCAACACTTGCCAAGATCACGAACTCTGTCTGGCAACACTTGCCAAGATCACGAACTCTGTCTGGCAACACTTGCCAACAAGAGTGGCTGGCAACGTCAAAAAAGAAAAGGCGCGAAAGTTCGTTGGATTTTGTCCGGGTGTTGCCCGAGGATGTCTGTGACAGTTCTAACCTTTTCTAATAAAGTTCTTTTTTGTTACTGTTCGTGTTTGCCTGCTTAATGTTAGATCTAAACATCAGTAGGATTGAATGACAAAACAGAAATGCCATTTTGATATTACCAGTAGCAGTGTGATAAGTCTCTGTTATCTCTATTACAGTATTTGAGATTTTAGTTTCAACAATTTTCGAAACAAGAAGCTCTTTTATAGTATAATATTACATTGCATTTATAGTCATTTTTATGCATGAAATACAGCAAGAGAAATGGATTAATCCATTTTATATTGTTTCTTATGGAAAAATTTGTTTTGGTTTTAGAACAAATCAGTTTTTGAACAACTTTTATGAACGAATTATGATCAAAAATCAAGATTTAACTATAATTCATAATTCATAATATAATTTAATTTATTGAGATTTAGAGATTTTTCAATCATTGAAAAATCTCTAAATCTCAATAAATTAAAAATACTTTATAGAATTTCCTATTTTAAAGTCTTGTATAAATGAATTTTTTCAAGTTTTTTTAAAAGAGATTCAAACTACTAAAAGAACTTTAAAATGAAAGAAACATCAGAATTTTTGTATATCATTTTTCCATAATCCAAATTCCATTCATATAATATGAATTTGAATGATCTTTTAATTTTATTTAACAAAATTAACAAAATGTAGAATTAACATTTTGTAACTAATATATGTAAATGTTAAGTACAAGTATGTACTGTACACTTTACAATGGAGATACTCTAAGAAAGACATTTGTTAAGTGAACATTATAGAGTGTACTTAGATAAATCTTATGGGACCTCTCTCTCATAAATAAAATCCATTGTCAGTAAATTAACACTCAAAAAAAGTTTTTTGAATGTTAATTTATATGCGTTCCAGTATTCGTGTACAAAGGTTTTTAATTTAAGCCATTGTCAGTACATAACTACAGTATATATGTAAAACTAAACTTTAAAAAACCATAATATATGTGTTTAAAAATAATAAATTTACTTCTGTAATTCAAACAATGATTAATCTATAATAATTTATTTGGCATCTTCATGAGATAAGAAAATAACTGAAACTTTTAAACTATGAGGCAATGTAACAGCATAGCTAAATGACACAAAACTCTGGGCTTTAGAGCAACAAATCTAGTCTTTGAAGGAAATTTTACTTAGAAATTTAGTTAATTAAAAAAAATTAACTAAATTTTTGTTAAAGATTCACTTTTACAAAAAATTATTTTTACCTATAAAATGTTTCAAGAACAGTAGCCCCTTGTTATATCATACATCATTATATTGCTCATTTGGATATATAACCTTATATTTTTTGTTCCAAATATAAAAGCACTTATTTCAATAATATACATTTATTTCTTATCATTAAAATAAACAAAATTTTTTATATTTATATATTAAAAACAAATAATTAAAAAGCTGCTTAATTCTGGTAATCTAATAAAGGTTGAGTAATATTTTAAATCATCCTCAATTTATAATTGATAATATTACAGAAGAACTCGAAAAAGATTTTTATTCATAAAAAATATAATCACACTTAAGTAATTGAATGATTTGTAGCAAATTTCTGATTTAATCACTTATACACTAACAGATAACCTGTGGTACCTGTGGAATAAGGCATTGAATAAAAAAGTTAATTTAGGATTAAAAACTGGAATTTAATGTTTATCAAAACTTACTTGTAGTCTGAACTACAAAAAACTACTGTATAATCAGGCTCTTAATACCAATGGTAAATCCAATAGAACCCAAGTCCTTTTGGCTACTTTAGCTCTCAACAAATATCTTTAAGTCATCAAAGGAATGACTCTTAGCAATACAGTAATACCCCAAACTTACACGATAGGTGGGACTGAGCGATAACCGCGTAAGTCAGAATATAATTTCGCATATAAATACATACAAATTATTTTAATTGCGGCTGGAGACTAAAGAAAACAATAATTTAGAAAAAAATGTTTCAAAAAGTCTTTAAGAGAAAGCTCATTGTTTTGTCTCATAGCTTCATGCAGATGTGCAAACAATCATATCATGTAATAAGCTTTGAATGTTTTGATGACTCCCTGATCCATCAGTTGAAGCAAGCTGGTTATATTTGGTGGCAAAAATACAACTTTCATACGTGAGTCAAAATTAGTTAAAGTTGCAGGGGAATGACCTGGTGCGCTGTCGATTATTAGCATCACTTTAAATGAAATTTGTTTAGATTGGCAATAATGTTCGACTTCAGGTATGAA